CGATCGATCCCATCGATCACGTTCCGCATGGTCGCGCAATTAGCGCGCGAATTCTACTAAACGTGAAAGGCTTATAACATCACGAGAGGTGTCGAGAACGGGGCAGGGATCGAGGGATGAAATACGCAGGGGTGAAACGAGGGGGCCGAAGAAATGGCAGGAGAAAGAGAGAAGGGGAGAGGCCAAGTGGCTGGTACCACGTGCTGAATCAAACTAAGCGTAACGTTTTGGGGTTGCACGAGGGTTGAAGTGTAACGAGAGCGGAGCTACGCGGCAGAAACGGGCGGAGAGGGAGGGATAGGGTGGTGGTGGTGGTTGGGTATGGGGGCCAGAAAAGGGATGATGCTCCTCTCACCATGCTCCCTTCCCCCAAAGACCGAGGGCTGGAAACTGGAGGAAGAAGAAGAAGAAGAAGAAGGTGGATGCTCGCAAAGGGAAAAGACGATGGGACGTAACAGGGTGGAGGAAGGAAAGCAGGGAAAGTTTCGGCGGTGTATCTCGCCACGTCGTCGAGCTACTCTTCGGGTGAATGGAGGCTTGGAACGAGTACGAGACTCGACACGTCAGCCGCGCCTTCACTTAACGGAATGGAATTTGTCAACGGTTCCATGGGACGTCGAATAAAATTCAAATGGGCAGGGGTGGGTCAGTGAATATATCGACCTACCTAATCTTTCTCTATTCAACTTGGAATGTTTTACGTTGAATCTCGTTTTTCGTTGATTTCGATCGACTCGTCGTTGCGAAGAAAGAAGAAAACTTGGTGTTCGATGTTTAGAATCGTATTTTTAAAACAGGAGAGAATATGTATATGTGAAATTAATCGCTAAAACAGAGAATATGATGGTTCAATTCGTTGTGTATCTAATCAAGTTTTATAGACAATTAATTTTTTTTATCTGAAGATAATATAAAATATCGTTTTATGATCGATTTATAATTTTGCATAATTTTCAAGGAAGAATTAACATTTATGGTATTACGTGAAAAAAAGGATAGATGAAATTGCTTGCATTGTTTCATCTTACTTTAATCCCGAGAGAACTAATTGGATTGCGCAAAATGTTTCAGATTTTCGTGACGAGAACGTGCCATCCGCCGATAATTCAACGGTTAACAACGGTTGATTATGAAAGAGCTTTTTCTCATCAAGGAAGAAGGAAACGTTAATATGGAAATCTTACGAATTTTCACGAAGTTTCCCTTTAAGCTGAAAAATCATTTTTCAAGTGAATATTATTTTTTATAATTAAATAGCCGTCTACAGGCCAGATTAAAGGCTTTCTTCTTTGTGAGATAATCACTTTGAAAAGGTACGCGAAGCTTTACCAATTATCTAGAGGCTTCTACCGTCGGTTTTTCCGGGAACAGAAATTTTAATTAGTAGGTAGACGTCTTTATATCCAAGCAATCACCCGAACTATTAATTTTCCTCTTTTAAACGTTTCATCTTTCGTTTTCGACAAACAAACCAGTCTTTCCACTCCACCCTCTTTCATTTCATCCCATTAAGTCAGTTCAATATAATTCAAATAACAATCCATTTCATCATTCTCTTTCGCGCACGTATTTAATATTTTTAAAACGAATCGAGAAAAATACATAAAGTTCTTCAATGTAGTTAAACTTTTCCCGGTTAGAATAACCGTCGAAACTTTTATTAAAGATTCTCGAATAATTAATTCCAAATCTAATATCTCTCGATTTCCCCCAGGTTCAAAATTTGGATAAGCTCAAGAAAACTGAAAATCATAAGATTATACATCTCGACCATTGACGTGATTAATCTCTGTTCAAAATGAAAAATAGTAAAGAGAGGATGCACAATATCGATACAACAATATTTTTCGGATCATTTTTCGACTTTCTTCGCCTCCCTGTTCATCGCCTTTCTCGTAACGTAAGTAAACCACCCTTTCCCTTTCCCTGCGGGAAAGATCGATCCGAATATTCCATAGAATCCTCTATATCCGCAGACGGTAAACTACTTTCGACTCTTTTTATCCCGGTCTAAAAGAGGAAGAAGAAGAAGAAGAAGAAGCAGTTGAGAGGGGGTGGTCGGGAGCGGGTCCAGGAAGCTGCATTCAAACCAAGGGATATATATCCTCGGCTCTTTGGCATCGAGAAAACTAACGAGAGGGCATTCCAGGACTTGGCTTAAGGAAGTTTATTTTCTTAATACCGAGGGCCGTGCATCAGTCTTCCTGTTAGAGTCGCAAGTCGCTATTCAGAAGCTTCATTAGGAGAAGCACGCATTCAGATTGCTTGGTGAACTCGCGTGACCCCCGGCCATTCCAAAGGTTTTAAGAGTATCGGTGTCTTTTTTTAGAATTTTCTCCTCCTCTATATTTCTTTCTACTTTCTTTTTTTCGTTACTTTCGTTTCCCTCTTCTTACTCTTCTTCAACTGTTTCTTCCATCTCGTTCCTCTTTCGTACTCCGACCACTTTTTTAATTTTATTATAAAGGTAATGAAAGACGCGTTGTAAAATTTGCTCTGTCTGGGAAATTAATTTCTATAGCCTAAGAAATTGTTATAAACGGTATCAAAATCCTCTTTTTCATCGAATAACCTTCGAAAAGTTCCGGAAATAAGAAAAGTCCAATTTTTTTTTTACCCCTTTTATTGTTTCATCAAATAATTAATTGACTCGTGATTCGTCGATAACAAGCAAACTTGAAAACGTTTCACGCTTACGTCGTTATAAGAAAGAATATTTCTTCTCTGACGCAAAGCTGAAAATTTTCATTCATTCCCGTTTAAAAATCAAACGGAACACGATATACATAGATTACGCGATAACAACCATTGTTCTTCCATCCACTACTATGAAAAACGCGGAAAACACTTAATCCTACAAAGCGAATCAGAATTTTTCCACGAAACGAAACGAAACGAGGATACAGTCGCCAACGTGGAAGGCGAAGCGCCGGTCAAAGCGACATCCGCCCCATTTAACCCTCGCCTTATTGACCTTATGCTTAATATTAACGAGGCGACGCGGTCAGCCGGCCGAGCACAACACACCTACGTGTACACGAGGTATACAGGGAAACGTAACTAGCCTGAAGGCCGTTAACCTCCTCATTTGCACCGCTTTGATCCAATCCTATTTTCCACCCTTACTCCCCCTCGTCGATCCGCCCGATCGATCCTACAAATTCCCCCCCTCCCCTCCGCGGATTTCGCGCTAACTATGTCCCCCGCCCCTCGTACCCTGCCACGATATAAAACGGATCGGCTGAACAGGATTGATTTGCATAAATAATTGCGCACATATCATCAAGACACGATCGAAACCGGCTAATTAGTAGACCGTTCCGCGGGAACATGGCCGCGTCAAGGTGATTACCGAGAAATACGTATGCGAGAGCATCGATAGATGGAACGAGGATCGAGGCTTCCTCTATACGTGGAAGTGAAATTATGGTACAGGAGTTCACTGTGGCGGAGATATGCTCGATACCCCCCACTCCCGACTTTTCCTCCCGGTTTATTAATTATGGAAAATCGAAGGTGATGTAATTTCGCGCGCGATACAATAATGGGAAATAATTGGATATTGGATGGAAGGTAGAAGAACTCTTGAAGTTTTCTGTTTCATTCTGTTTTGGATTTAGTCCAATCTGGTAGACCATATAATAATCGCGGTAAATAATCTTATTAAGAAATTGCCTGGACATGATTGGAGAAAACAATATGCATGAATTTTTCGTCGAAAAATTATAATACAGAAGAATTATGGAAAAAGGTGACGCAATAAAAAATAACGTTTTCTGTTTTATTAATTTTGATTTAATCCAATCTGTAAATGTACAATACGATATAATCGTGGTAAGAAACGATAGTTGCCTATACACGATCAGAGAAGGATATGCATGATATTTTCGTGGAAAAATTATAACAAAGAAGAAGAAAGAAATTATAATCGAAACAGATTGTTAATAAAACGAGGAAAAATTTTTATCTTCCCGCATGAACCAGATCCCCCTCTCCTACGTCAAACTAAAAGGACGAAGGGCCAGGAACAGTTTGTGAGATCAACCACGTTCCACTAGCCCCTGTAACGAGATTACCCCCAGTTCAACTTAAATCTCGATTCCAAACGGAAGTTGCAAGTTTTGCCAGTTTTCAAATTCCTCGATAAAAAGACCATCGAAAATGATCAACGATTCCTCGCATTCTTTCGCGTGTCTCGATTCTCTCTCTCTCTCTTTCCTCTTCGATAATAATCTCACGAGGTGGAAATAAAATCGCGATGAAACGCGAGCGGAAAAGAAACGAGATGAAAAGAGGAGCGAGAAGGGGGTGAGAGAGAGAGAGAGGGCAACGTTTCATTACGAAGACCTACAATGCGAACGGGAAGGCGCAAATCACCCCCGATTCGTTTTAACGATCGTCAACCGGACGAATGGAGAATGCTATGTTACACTTGGCGATCGTTAAAACTTAACGAAACCTTCTTTCGACCCGCGGCGGTGAAATGGAAATCAAGATGAGCATGGGGGGAGGGGATAAGATATAATTGCATTCTCTTGAGTCGAATCTATAACTATTCGTATCTGGTGAATTTCATCATTTCAAGAGGTAGATTATTAATTGGATTAATTGGATTAATAATTGAAAAGATGGATCTTACAAAGTTTACACTTGATTCTCGATCTTGGAATTAATTTTTGGAGATAAAATAGGGGAGGGTATTGTGCAGTCTCCGCTCGTTCTTTTCATCCTCCCCTTTTTTCGTTAGCGCGATTCCACGACACGAACAACGTATTATCCCTTCGATGAAATAAACATGAGATCGTGAATTGTTCGCCGTTAAATTGGCTCGCTTCGTTTTCGTAACTTTCGTTCGAACTAAATAGACGTTCGTATGTTTGTCTAATTGCCAATCGAATAGGAGAAAGTAAATAGGGGGGGAATAAATGGGAGACTAAACCGAGCGACTTTCTTGGCTTCGAAAGGTTTAAGGTTCTCGTTCCAAAGTTTTCCCATCCCCCTCCCCTCCCCCCTCTCTGGTGCAAGCTTTTTTCGTTTTCCTGCCAAGCTAAGTTCTCGTTCGTGTTTAACAACGAGGGAACCAAGGAGAACACTGTTTCATAAAGTAGTTGAAATACACCGATTTACTCAGTATCCAGGGACCTAATGAAAGAAGGAAAAGGACGCAGCCCCCCGAAACGTTGCAAACTCCGTTCCATTTTCATTTCGGTAGTCGCACAGCGTTCCGGACAATTAAGGGAGCGGCATGGATGTAAAGTTTCCGCGACTGTAAATTGAATACATCAGCTGGGTACTCTGGCGCAGTTGGAAGTCGAAACTTTGAAGGAGGCGGCGCAACCGTGATACCACACCACGTTGTTCCGTCATTACGAAACGAGCGCCCGGAATATGCAATAAATTGGACATAGTTTAGATGCGAGTTGGAAAATAATCGTGGCGAATCGTGTTCAACGCTGTGTGTTTCAGCAACCAGATTCGTGGATCGAGGGA